TCTTTTAGTAGACTTTGTGATACAGACCCAAGAATTACTACAATATATATGGTCTACTTTAAGGTTGTTTGAATAAGGCTAAGTATAATTTAGGTACAAGTAAATTTATGTATTGTTGAAATCTAATGCATAGGTACTATAAATATATTTAAACTTCAGTACTCAGTATTTCTCTCATCAGAAGATCTTAATATGGTATGTCTAAGTATTTGAAGATATCATTATGTCAACCAATTCTTTTTTAATCTTGTATATCTAGTAAAGTATACTAGTCAAAATTTATACATGATTATCACTTATACAAGTTTTCATTCTCATTCTGGGAGATTTTATTTCTACTTGCTACTTAGGCCATTGTAATTGCAATAATGATCATATGGATATCTGCACAACAGGAATGTGTTCTTTGTGTTAGGCTTTAATTATTTCATTGTTTTCTGAGTGATTCTAATATCTTTGTTATTCCCTTTGAACTGAAATTTTCTTTCTTCCACTTTTCTTTTCTCATCATGCATATCTTTTGTTTTGTTTTACTCATTAGTATTATTAATAACTCACTCTTGCAGGTAGATGCTAAAGGAAATGGATTTGAATAACAAGGACGGAGAAACTGGGCCTCCGGGGCCCAACAATCGACCACAGGAGCCTTTAGCCAGAGGAATTGTTGATGACGATGATGGACTCAGCGATTTTGGATCCCCAAAACGAGGCCCAACTTTGTCCACAAGCACAAGTAGTTTTGAAGCACTGGACCCTCATGATCCAAATCTAAGTCACCTGGCAACTCTAATGTTTTCACACACATCAAATTACTTACAGGTATTAAAGTTTGAATGATCCTTAATGATTTATTTGTTTTCCTATATTTACATGTAGTTGCAAATTTTGTATTTGTGTATATTGTATATATTGGTATCTCTTTATATATATACCTAGGATTAATAAAATACACTTAATTATTTTTTAGAAATTTGTGTGATTTCTTGCATAGTATTTATCACAGCTAGATCATGTGTCATTTGGAGGAAAGTGACAAGGAGTGCTTCTCCTATCCCTCATGCTTTCAAAGGGGCTTCCTAATGAGCTAAATATAAAGCATTTCTTATATGCACATCCTATCCCATCCCATCTCATCTCATCTCATCTCCTCACATCACATACCACATTACACACAGCTTTCTGTTGTCCTTTCACTGTAAGTTTTGTCTAAACTGTTTTTCTTCCACAGGGAGAGTTGTCTGCAGTCCTTGAAGATTATGCATTACTGGAGCAGATGAACAAGGCAACCATCACCAAATATGCTGATATGCGACAAATAGGAGGAAGTGTCAGTCGAGCATTGAAAGACCTCAATGAAAAGTATTTAGCACTACAGCCATATCTAGACCAGATTGATCAGATTGAAGATAGTGTAACTAAGCTCGAAGCTGCTGCTTACAAACTTGATGCGTATTCCAAGAGACTAGAAGCAAAATTCAAAAGCTTAGAGAAAAAATAAGGTGTTTTTTAAAAATGATCCCTGGATATAATTACTTAATTTGTTTTGGTGACTGTGCTTCATTAGACCCAGTACTGAAGTTTGTGTACTGTACTGTGTATTGCTTCATATGTTTGTAATTTTTCTTAACCATTTGACTACAAGGCTAATAAAAACAGAACCCCAGCATTTATGAAGAATCCTAAGAAATTCACTGGGTCTCACTATGGGAAAAGACAGAATTTGCGTTCGACCAACAATACCCACAAGCCAGCACTCCAGCTAAGGGTGGGATGTCATTCAGAACCAATTTTGCACCCAGCACAATTCCTTTATCAGGCATTGAAAAAGACCAGCTGCCAATAATGATGTAAAGTGTATCATCACACAACAGTGACATAGAAGTATGTACATACACATGTTACTAGAGTGACGTAGAAGTAACATTGTACTTATGAGATTAATACTGAAAAATAATTCTATTACCTCTGTAATTCAGGACTAAGAACAGCAGTGGAGAATTGAGGGCAGTGACAATGATGAGAGAGAATGGAAATACTAGAATATTTGTCATATCCACAACGAAATTTCTTGGTTATTTCAAAATTTCATGGAAAAAGTAATTGTGATATGTTTGTGTAAAGATGCTAGTCTGAAACATCAAAAGAGAAGACACCTGCTAGAGAAATTATTAAATATGTTTGGTCAGTAATTTTTTTTATTCAGCAAGAACAGTATTATTCTTAATAGCTAAATTATATTACTCAATAAGCCTTGAATATGTGCATTTTTTGTTTTAAACTGGCTGTTATATCTTTCCATCTCTCTTTTTGTGCTTTAGAAGAACATTAAATGTGTATTTGTTCTTTAAAAACCTACATATATCCTGTGAAATAATATTCAATAATGTGTAAACATTATGTTATTGTATTTCATTATATAATTGATATGTAATATAGACAATAGATATTTATATCATATGAAAAATACATTGTGATATTTGTAAGTAATAAACTCTAAAAGATACAATTAACCATATGCCTACTTTAGTTTCCTTAATTTGTGTGTGCGTGTGTGTGTGTGTGTGTGTGTGTGTGTGTGTGTGTGTGTGTGTGTGTGTGTGTGTGTGTGTGTGTGTGTGTGTGTGTGTGTGTGTGTGTGTGTGTGTGTGTGTGTGTGTGTGTGTGCATGATTTTTTGTGTGAGGGGTATTTTTGTTGTTGCTGTTTGTGTGTGCATTATATTTGTTTATTTTAAATCAAGATTGTATAAATGTCTTCATGTCAGTGATTACAGACTTTCAGAAAGGCAGGAACTCACACTGATCAAGGGAGTGTACCACAACCAAAATGGTACATTCCCTTTGCTGATTTCAAAAAGAAAAAAAATTGAGCTATCCCCCCTAATGCACATCCCTGCAAGTGACTTATCACTGATAGTGGTCCTAGTAAATTACAATACTACAATGACTAGGTTTAATTTGATACAGAACAAAGACTAAATCTAGATAATACGGACCTCAATGTAAACCTCACAAACTTCCTACAAATGTCAAATTTAAGTAATAATTAGTAATAAATTGGATTTGTTGAAAGTGAGGTCTCACTTTATATAAACTTGTTTTACATTATGGGTTTTCCTACCATAGTATCAACACAGTATAGTGTTTTATCTCCATTCAAATAATAAATTGAATAATAAGAAATACACATCTACTGCACTCACATTTCTGTCAGTATTCAAAATACAACAGAGCTTAGTCTCAAGCATGTCTGAAATGGATAGTTTCCCCAAAATTTATCTTCACCTTTAATATCTACTAATTTGTGTTGGTTCCCCCTTAATTTCCTGTTTATTGTTGTCGTGGGGGGGGGGGGGGGCTTATGAGACGGAGACTTGGCCTCATTGTAAAGGATCAGCCCTACCTTGGACCTCAGCCTTCGCCTCAACTAATTTTACATGGTCTTTCCTTCTCTCCCTTCCCTTTTTCCTTCTCTTCTTCGTCCCTTCTTCTGTCCACTTCCTATGGTGTGATAGCCGTGCTGAAAGGATGAAAGGCTGGCTTTGTGCCAGACCTGAACGACCTCCGGGAGTCATGAACACGGTATTCCTTTGTTTAATCGCGATGTCCTTACCCCTCATAGGGACCCTGAGTAGTAGACCGTTTCCAATCCCCATTTATATCATCATGGCCAATAATGAAGATTTTTACCCTTAATAGGGACATTAAGGCTTCCCCTACATCAACTAGCTGATCTAAATTTGATTTCTCTGGTTTCCCGACCCATGCCTCTCCTTTGACCACGGTTCTGACCAATGATACCACCCCCTCCTCCATGCTTGCTGTTACCTCTATCCATTCCAAATCATCCACCCTGGTCATTACTCAACCTTTCAGAATACACCCTTCCTCTCTCCCAATATCCTCCACTCCATCTCCTACTGCACAGTCTTCTTCATTGTCTACTCCCTTCCCTCTTTATTACTGCTCTTTATCCTAATTGTCCTCCTCGCAGTACTACTTCACTCCACACCATCCCATCTTCCCACCCTCGACCTTCTACTGCTTCCACCTCTGAGTACCCTTTTTGGCCCGGCTACATGGGATCGATTCTTTTTGTTTCCCCCCTACAACCCCTAATTATGACAATGGCCTTCTCCTCCATTTATTTCTTTGTCAACAATAAGTTGACAAAGTTTCCTTTCGCAGTCATTCTGATCGTTCACGCTTTGTCATAATTACATGAGAGTCTCAAGCTCGTGCAGTCTACCCTGACTGACCTCACTGGCAAACCCATTCCTGACGAACCTCCGACTGATAATCCTGTCTTCGACGAGGCCTGGTCAGACTGTGAAAACGACTTGCTCGCATGCCTCATCGACTATGATGCAGTAGCATTACATTATTCCTCCCAGAGGCCAACGTAAGTCCTACACCAATATTGCCAAAATTAGATTCCGTAGACATGACCTCCAACATAAAGTTTATATTGGTGGTGTGTCCTGTCGATCCCTTCCCCGTCAATGTCAGAAACGTTGACGTTTCGGCCACAAAGCCAAACACTGTGGCTCCAAAGCATGCTGTCCTCAATGAGCCCAACCTGGTCATGACCGTTCAAATTTCTCTGCTCAGTCACGCACGCGTGCCAGTTGTGATGTATTTTATGGGAGCTTTTCTGCCTACAAGCTCGAATATGAGGTAGCAGTTCTCAGATTAAAGCTAAGCCACACTCTACGTGAGCAGACAGGAAGCACGCCGACGAAGTTTTTTTTCTCTTTCTACCTATTCCAAAACTGTTCTTCGCTTCGCTCCCCTCTCATCTTCTCAAGAAGTCTTAGCTTCTCCCCCAGTATTTCTTCCCTCTACCCTGATCCATCCTACCTCTACTCTCTCTCTCTCTCTCCCAGTCACATTCCTTTTCCAGTCTAAATCCAGATACTCAAATCTCTGCACTTTACCAGTGCCTATCCTTCCCCTTTCTCACTCTACCAGTCGCACCGGACAATCTAAACGTTCCACCCCATCTCCTACCACATCCTCTCCTACATCCACCTCTCCTTCTGCTCCTCGGACATCTATTCCCTCTTCTCCTCCACATAAGAAAACCTTCGTTTCTCAGACCTCCTCGCCCAGCTCCTCTCCAGAAACTCTTGAAGGCATCCAAAACTTCCTTGACATGACCCAAGAGAACACTCCGCTCCCTCATTTACCCTCCAGTCTCTAGTCCTATTCGCTCTACATTCAAAGTATTTGCTTATATCCATCTTCTTCCTCTTCCTCAAATTCCTCCTACTCCTTTTCCTCCCCCTCACCCCATAAACATCCCATCCTCTCCTCCTCCATGTGCATCACCATTCCCTCTTCCTTTCCCATTATCCTTACCACCCCCACTTAGATGCTCACGTGACTCCCTTATGTCGCAACAATGTCCTTCTGCAGACCCACCCTCTCCTGACACTTTTCCCTATACTTTCCCATCTTCCCCTGTTTCCTCATTTCATCCTCTGGATTCTTCTCCTACTTCTACAACTACCATTTCTTACTGTATTATCCTTTGGTTGTTTTATAATGGCTCTTTTGCTGTTTGTTTACCTCATACATTTGATCTGATCGCCCTATACCTTTAACCCTATTAAATTATGAGACTAAGAACATCCATTTATGTGTTAGAAAAAATATGTAGAAGAAAGCAAGCAGCCACTCTGCTTTGGAATATATATATGCATACACACACACACACACACACACACACACACATATGTGTATATATATATACATATATATATATATATATATATATATATATATATATATATATATATATATATATGTATGTATATATATATGCACATATATGTATGTCTCTCTCTCAAAATGAACAGAGTTTGCATTAATACTTATCAATAATCCCAAATTTAAAACGTGCATAAAAAAAAAACCTGAGAGAAAAACAAAAACACATCTATGGGTATCGAATGCTTCCTTCCCCTCCACCCATCCCATACCCACACCCCGAAAAGCCATAAAGTTTTGATTAGAATTTAGTACAGTAACCGACCACTTCCCCCCTCTCCTCCCTCCCTCCGCCACCAACCCCTACCCCCTTCCTCCCTCCCCTCACCCCCCCCCTTCCTCCCTCCCCTCAACCCCCCTTCCTACCCCTCTCTCTTCTCCCCCAACCCCCTCTCCCCCCTCCTCCCACCCCCTACCAGCTGTCTCGTCGACGTCGCTCGAAATTTGTCCACAAATTTTCCCGAAGCTCCCGTGTGTTTTTGTTTTTTTTTCTTCCCCCTTCGTATTTTTTTTTTTTATGGCGAAAAACGACGTCCCAGCTGAGGAATTTCGACTCCTACGTTGGAAATGAAAGCCTGCGGGTGAAAAGGGACAGCTGGAAATAAGTTAAATGAGTTAAATGACTTAGATGCTGCGTTTTAAGGCAGTGATCACCTCCTGTCCTGGCTGAAGAGGAGAGACAAGAAGAAGAAAAAGAAGAAAGAAGAAAAGAAGAAAAATAGATTAAAAAGATAGAAATAAAAAAATAGAGTTTCTGCGATGTCGGAGATTAATAATAATTTGAAAGACGCTCAAGGTTAGTCTAGAAGATTTTCCCAAGAAGCTGTTTGGGTTTAAGTTAAGTAAATTGTGGAAGAGTTTGTGCCTTTAAGAGCATGAAAAGTGTTGTTTTTTTAAAAGAATAAACAAAAATGTCTCAGAAGATGACATTCTCGAATAAAAACTTAAGCTGGTGAGTATGGATATTACTCCTGTATTCATTAACAGTATAACTTTTTGGACAATATGTAGTCTAAGGTAGTGGCAGTTGGGTAATAAAACCTACATGAAATGATAGAGCAATACAAACCAAGACAAAGTTCTTCAATGGCAATATGTGTGCAAATGCTTCCCAAGGGTACTAGGTATACATATTACCCCTGGCTAGGGAATATATACCACGGTGTTAGGTTAGGTTGGATGTTGGGTTAGGTCACCTATTTGCACAAGGAACAATGCCTAGAATCGTTGAAAGCAGTGGATTTCATGCAGAAAAATATCATAATTGTTTCGAAAGTAACCCATCTTCTTCCCTTTTCTTTTACGTATAGCAGCCTTGGGAAGTATTTGCACACACATTGCTATAGAAGAACTTTGTCTTGGTTTGTATTGCTCTATCATTTCATGTAGGTTTTATTACCCAACTCTGCCACTACCTTAGACTACATAGCGACCAACTTTTTTACTATGTTTTTTTTCGTAAGTCTAGGACTTTTGCAAAACCTGAGACATTATTGCAAAGAAAGTCAGGTAGTTGCAAGGATTGACAAGTCTTGGGGCCTCCCTGCATAAATTAGAGGAAAATGGAGCTTTGAATGGCTTCTAGATAAATAGTAAATTACTAGGAAGGTCTACAAGTTCTATCATACTGCATATATCTGTAATTATTATTATTATTATTATTTTGTTTTATTTTTTTGAGTGCGGTATAGAGGCCATGGTATTTGCTTGATGCACAGGTCGGCCAACTT